CTTGGTGGCGGGTAGTGCGCTCCAGGACGGGGGTGTCCACCGGTTCACCCCTGCCTACGAGCGCGTGACACACTGCACGTGTGCTCGGACGGGTCGCCACCTGGCTACCTTCACTCGGTTGCCGGGGTCGGACCTATACACACTGACCACTGAGTCCCCTCAGGTAGCTGCGTCTGCGTCTGCGTCAGGTCAGCTGTCGGCCCCCTGCTCGTGTCGCTCCCTGGCGCACGAGACCGTCCTCTGGCACCACCGCCTTGGTCACCCGTCAGTGCAACGCCTTCGTGGCATGCACTCCCGGTACCTTGTCTCTGGTCTTCCCAGGGTTCTCCCTCCCCTCCCACCCTCGCCTGCTCCTCCTTGTCTTCCCTGTGTCGAGGGGCGGCAGCGCGCCGCTCCTCACTCCTCCTCGTTTCCCCCGACGACTGCTCCCTTGCAGACGCTCCACATGGACGTGTGGGGCCCAGCCCGCGTCCGTGGACAGGGTCACGAGAGGTACTTCTTGATAGTTGTTGACGACTACTCGCGCTACACCACGGTCTTCCCCTTGCGCACCAAGGGTGAAGTCCCTGATGTTTTGATCCCTTGGATCCGCGCTGCCCGTCTCCAGCTCAGCGAGAGGTTCCCCTCGGACTTTCCTGTCCTGCGTCTGCACTCTGACAGAGGTGGGGAGTTTTCCTCCGACCTCTTGAGGGCCTACTGTCAGGGGCAGGGCATTGAGCAGTCGTTCACGCTTCCGGCCTCTCCACAGCAGAATGGGGTTGCTGAGCGCCGCATTGGCCTGGTCATGGAGGTCGCTCGTACCTCCTTGATCCATGCGGCTGCCCCCCACTTTCTGTGGCCGTTTGCGGTCCGATACGCTGCGCATCAGCTCAACCTCTGGCCCCGTGTCTCCGTTCCGGAGACTTCGCCGACACTGCGTTGGACGGGAGAGGTTGGCGATGCGTCTCGTTTCCGGGTCTGGGGATCTCGAGCTTTTGTTCGCGATACGTCCGCGGACAAGCTCTCCTCCCGCGCTGTTCCTTGTGTCTTCCTTGGCTTTGTCCCGGACGCGTCTGGTTGGCAGTTTTACCACGCCACCTCGCGCCGTGTCCTGCCTTCTCAGGACGTCACGTTCGACGAGTCGGTCCCCTACTACCGCCTCTTCCCCTACCGCACTGCCCTGCTCCCCCCCCCGCCTCTCTTCCTCGCACCAGGTGCTGCTGTGGTAGACCCCCTCCCCCCTCAGGGTGCCGCTCCCTCAGGTGTGTCCCAGGTAGACCCGGTTGAGCCTGTCGAGGTAGCTGTCGACTCTCGTCCTGCTAGGGGTGCTGAGCCTGAGCGTGCGGAGCCTGGGGGTGCAGAGCCTGGGGGTGCTGAGCCTGAGGTTGCTGAGTCTGGGGGTGCTGAGCCTGCGGGTACGGAGCCTGGGGGTGCTGAGCCTGAGGGTGCTGAGCCTGAGAGTGCTACGTCTGAGGGTCCTGAGCCTGGGGGTGCTGCGACTGACCGTGCGGCGCCTGGAGGCGCTCCCTCTTCACAGCAGCTGCGTGAGTGGTACTCGCGGTACTGCAGCCTCAGGAGGGGCGCTTCTGGGGCTAGGGGTGCTGCTGGAGCTGGTGTTCGTGGTTCCCCGCCTAGGCGGGAGCCGCCCTCTCCCCAGCGGCTCCGAGAGTGGTACGCTCGGCGCTGCAGTCTCCGGAGTAGCGCTGCTGGTGCTTTGGACCCTGGAGTTGGAGCTGCTGCTGGTGCTGAGGACCCTGGAGCTGGAGCCGCTGCTGGTGCTGCGGACCGTGGAGCTGGTACTGCTGGCGCAGGAGCTCCTGGTGGTGCTGCTGGAGGTGCTGCTGGTGCTGGAGCTGCTGGAGACGCTGCTGGTGCTGGAGGTGCTGGAGGTGCTGGTGCTGCTGGCGCAGGAGCTGCTGGTGGTGCTGCTGGAGGTGCTGCTGGTGCTGGAGCTGCTGGAGACGCTGCTGGTGCTGGAGGTGCTGCTGGTGCTGCTGGAGGTGCTGCTGGAGCTGCTGGAGGTGCTGCTGGTGCTGGAGCTACTGGAGGTACTGCTGGTGCTGGAGCTGCTGGAGCCGCTGGTTCTGGAGGTGCTCGTGCTGGAGGTCCTAGAGCTGCTGGGGTTGCTGGTGGTGCTGCGGGAGTTGTAGCTGGAGACCCTGGGGCTGAGGGTACTGGTGCTGTCTCTGCTGGTTCAGGAGGTGCTGAGCGGCCGCGGCCGTACTACGTTCCGCTCCTTCAGCAAGTTCTTGGCCTCCCGCCCTCTCCTGGTCCTACTCCTCCCCTACTGAGTCCACCGCCTGTCGAGTCGCAGTCACAGTTACAGCGAGCCTCTCCACTGCCTGGTCCTTCTCCTTACGCTGAGCCGACGGGAGGTTTTACGGAGCGTCGTGAGCCTGAGTCTCGTCCTCCGTCGCCTGAGTCTCGTCCAGAGTCGTCTGAGTCGCGTCCAGAGTCGCCTGTCCGCGCTGTCCGCGCTGGTCGTCGTGCTCCGCGTCAGCGTCCTCCTCCTGTCCTTGGCACTCACTATATGACCCTGCGTCCTTCCACTGCTCCACAGCGTGTCCCTCTGCCGTCTCCTCCAGTTTCCTCTCTTCCTGCTCTTGCTGACCCGGAGTCTGACTCTCTTCGTGCTGCCAGTCCTACTGTCACGCGTCTCCTCGCCACTGTTGTCACTGACCCTTCCTTTGAGTCCTCTGCTGCGTCTGCTCTAGTCGCTGAGCTTGTTGACTTTGCTGCCGCCTGTCGTCTAGACTACGCCGCTAGCCTTGTTGCTGAGTCTGAGTCTGTCTGTCCTCCGTCCGTCGGGGGTGAGTGTGCTCTTGGCACGGACGTCCTTGAGGACAGACAGGAGGAGTTTGAGTGCTTTGCCGCTGCTTTACCTCATCTCGTGTCCATGCTGATTGCCCCTGAGGGAGACCCGGATGCACCAGACATCCCGACCCCACGCTTTTACGCAGAGGCGATGGAGGGTCCCTACTCCTCTCAGTGGCAGACAGCCATGGACGCAGAGATGGCTTCCTGGAAGTCCACATGCACCTACGTAGACGAGGTTCCCCCACCTGGGGCGAACATTGTCAGTGGCATGTGGATTTTCAGGGTGAAGCGGCCGCCGGGTTCTCCGCCTGTCTTCAAGGCGCGTTACGTTGCACGAGGCTTCAGTCAGCGAGAGGGAGTTGACTTCTTCCAGACCTTCTCCCCGACCCTGAAGATGACCACTCTTCGGGTTCTGCTGCACGTCGCCGCTCAGCGTGACTACGAGCTCCACTCTCTTGACTTCAGCACTGCGTTCCTACAGGGCAGCCTGCACGAGGAGATCTGGCTGCGCCGCCCACCTGGCTTCACTGGGTCGTTCCCTCCTGGTACCCAGTGGAGCCTCCGACGGCCAGTCTACGGTCTCCGCCAGGCACCCCGTGAGTGGCACGACACACTGACTACTCTTGCTGCTCTTGGGTTTGCTCCTTCTACTGCTGACCCGTCGCTGTTTCTACGCACCGACACCACTCTGCCGCCGTTCTACGTTCTCGTGTACGTAGACGACTTGGTCTTTGCTACTGCTGACACTGAGGCACTCGCCCACGTGAAGTCGGAGCTGCAGAAGAGACACACGTGCACAGACCTGGGTGAGCTGACAAGCTATCTTGGCTTGCGGATCACCCGGGACAGAGCACAGCGCACCATCACCTTGACTCAGTCACACATGGTGCAGCAGGTCCTTCAGCGCTTCCGCTTCACGTACTCCTTGCCTCAGCCCACTCCTCTGCCTACCGGTCACTCGCTCTCAGCTCTGCCTTCGGATGAGTCCGTAGAGCCGAGTGGCCCGTATCCAGAGCTTGTGGGCTGCCTCATGTACCTGATGACCTGCACTCGACCTGACCTTGCATACCCTCTTAGCATCCTAGCACGCTATGTCGCTCCTGGCCGTCACCGGAAGGAGCACATGGATGCAGCTAAGAGGGTGTTGCGCTACTTGTGCAGTACGTCGGGCATGGGGCTTGTGCTTGGAGGACGGGCTCGAGTTGTCCTCACTGGGCACTCAGACGCTTCTTGGGCTGACGACCAGGCTACGCAGCGGTCGTCTCAGGGTTACACCTTCAGCCTTGGCTCTGGTTCAGTTTCTTGGCGTTCTACACGCTCGTCTTCAATTCTCAGCTCCAGTTGTGAGGCTGAGATCTACGCCACAACCATGGCTGCACAGGAGTTACGCTGGCTCACCTACCTGCTGACCGACCTGGGAGAGCGGCCTCGTTCTCCTCCAGTGCTGTACGTCGACAACAAGGCCGCCATTGCCTTGTGTCAGGAGCACAGACTGGAGCACAGAACGAAGCACATTGCTCTGCGCTACTTCCTTGCTCGAGAGCTGCAGCAGCGTGGTCAGCTTCGTCTTGCTTACGTGGCGACTCGGGCCAACACTGCTGATGTGTTCACCAAGGCGCTTCAACCTTGTGATCATCAGCGTTTCTGTACTGTTCTAGGCCTTGTGCCTACAGTCCCTCACTTGCTCACTTCTTGACTCTGCTTGTACTGTGATCTCTATATATATACCTGCATGCTTACACTTGCTAGGTTGTGATCACTGTACCTCTTGTTATATTATCAAACTGCATGTGAACTGGTCTTGTGACCGCTTGCTTGTGCTCGGAATTTGTGTGGTATCCTTGAGATCCACCCTGAGCTTGTTTTGCTTTGTTTTGCTTTGACTGGTCTTGTGACCATCTGGTTGTCTCCCACTTAGCCTATGGGGGTGTGTCAAACATTGTATATGTTTATATTCTGTAGGCTATAGTGGGTTTAGCCTTAGGGGGTACAACATTCTAGGGTTTCCTACTTGTACTCCCAATCTTGTTAGTTCAACCACCCTTGTTCATTCTGACAGAGATAGAAGAAGAGAGGAGAGGAGAAGAGAGGAGAGCAGATGAGAACAGGGTGGGTGCATGTAAGGCACCGCAAAGATTTAAACGAAGCCCAAATCTCGGTTATGTCTTGTTAGCATAATTTTTACTTGGTACGGTTACTGCCTCATGTCTGCTCTCCCGTCATCACTTCCTGCCATCCACTCTCAATTCAATTCCCCGGTTTCTGTCCTCCCTTGCGCCAATCTTTACCCCTGTGTACCACCACTCTCCACGGATTTCAGAAAGCAGCAGGAGGAGGAGGAGAGGAGGGCGGAGGAGGAGATGGCAGTGCGAGTAGAGGTGGCAATAAGAGAGAGGGTAGAAGCAAAACTGGCGTGCGATCGGGTGCAGCAGCAGGTGGCAGCGATGGTGGCAGCGGGCAGGCAGAAGCTGAGGGAGGAGGTGCAGGCGCAGGTGGAGAGAGAGAAGCTGGCGCTGCTGGCTGATGCCCGGCAAAAAGAGGTGAGTGAGGGAGTGAGTGAGGGAAGGAGAGAGTGTGTGAGTGAGGGGAGAGGGTGTGAGTGAGTGAGTGAGTGAATGAGGGATTGAGGGAGGCAATGGCTGAGAAGTGAGTCAGTGAGGGAGTGAGTGAGGGATAGAAGGATTGAGAGAGTGAGACAGAGAGTGAGTGATGGAATGGGGAAGGTGGCATGTGAGCGGCTGCATCAGCAAGTGGCAGCGATGGTGGCGGCGGGCAGGCAGAAGCGGAGGGAGGAGGTGCAGGCGCAGGTGGAGCGAGAGAAACTGGCGCTGCCGGTCGATGCCCGGCGGAAAGAGGTGCGTGAGGGATTGAGGCAGGGAGGGAGAGAGTGATCAAGTGGGGGAGTGAATCGTTGTGAGAACCTTAGGAGCAGAACAGGAATAGGCACAAGCAGTTGGATCGATGCGTCTGTTTTTTTTTTCCCCTTCTAACTTTGTTTTTTTTTTTTTTTCCTTCTTTCGCTTTCTTCCTTTTGCACGTCGGGTAATGCCACAGGAGCAAAAGCGGAGGGAGCAGGAGGAGCTGGAGCGAATGTTGGCGGAGAATCAGAGGAAGGTGGAGGAGGCACAGAGGAGAGCAGCAGAGGAGAGAGCGAGGGAGGAGGGGCTGAGACACAAGGAGCGAGAGGCAGTCAATGCGGTGGGGTGGCGGGTGTTGTGGGTGTGCGAGGGAGTGGGAGAAGTTGTGCTGCGGCTACAGGGACGGCCCCACCTTGCCATAGCCATGGGCGAAGTACTGGGCGAAGGCGAGGTGTGGCATGGGCATGTGCTGACTTACGGTGGAAGAGGCAGCATATCAGTGTTTCTTTTGTCTTCTCCTCTTGACAGAAGCAACCCAGTCGTGGGCTAGGTACTGGGCGAGGGCGTGCTGTGGCATGGGCATGTGCTGGCTTACGGTGGAAGAGGCAGCATATCAGTGTTTCTTTTATCTTCTCCTCTTGACAGAAGTAACCCAGTCGTGGGCTAGGTACTGGGCGAGGGCGTGCTGTGGCCTGGGCATGTGCTGACTTACTGTGGAAGAAGCACAATATCGGTGTTTCTTTCGCTTTGTGCTTTTGGCAAATGCAATGAAGTCATGGGCAAGGTGCAGGGAGAGGGCGAGTTATAGCCCAGGCACATGAAGTGGCACATTTTCCACAGTGCACATGCGCCCCTGTGCTCTCCAAACACACTTCACCCCTCTCATCGAGCACTTCACTCTCCCCTTTCTTGACATTGCAGTCATGGCATGGGATGGGATTCGGTGCATTCTCCTCAGTGCATATTTCACCTGTAACCCCTGGCCCTTGCCCTCCCATCCCATTCTCACCCAACGTCTGGCAGTCATGGGCAAGGTGGAGGGCGAGGGCGAGCTGTGGCATGGGCATGAGACTACACTAGCAATGGACTAGCGCTGACACTTCACAAATCCCCCTCCCCTCCCTCTCTTGTCTCCCATCGTCTGGCAGTCATGGGCAAGGTGGAGGGCGAGGGCGAGCTGTGGCACAGGCATGTGACGGCGCTGACTGACAGTGGCACTGGAGTATCGCCGGCAGCAGCTGGCAGCAAGTCTGGTAGTTCCATCTCTCACCCCAATCGGCAGTGATGGGCAAGGTGGAGGGAGAGGGCGAGCTGTGGCATGGGCACGTGGCGGTGCTTACTGTGGCACCCGAGTATCGCCGGCAGCAGCTGGCATCGAAGCTCACATGCCTGTGCCACAAATCGCCCTCGCCCTCCACCTTGAGGAGATCACCCACAAGACGTGAGTGCTGTTACTGAGAGCCTTGAGACTGAATGGGCAGCTTAGCTGTTGAGAGAGTGCATGCCATGCAGCTTCACAGTTGCATGCAGAGAGCGTGAGTGAAGCTAGCAGCCAAGCTGATGGACATTCTTGAAGAGATCACAAACAAGACGTGAGTGGTGTCATTGAGAGAGGTTGGCTTATGGGAAGGGGCACCTTGGCTCTTGAGAGAGTGCATGTGGAGCAAGGGAGTGCAGCTGGCAGCAAAGCTGATGGACATTCTAGAAGAGATCACCCACAAGATGTGAGTGCTTTGCATTGTATCCAGGGAGAGCATCCAGAGAGAGGGTGTGCGGAGAGAGGGCGTGCAGATGGACAGTGCCTCGCAATTGCCATTTGAATTGGTTATTGTTTTCCTCTTCTGTTGGCTTGCACATTTCTTGAAATTTTCACTATCAATTCTTCGTTGAGTTTTTTTTTGTTTTCCCACCCCTTTTTTCCCTTGTTCATACTTTGACCTACTTCTCGTGCATTTCAGTTATGATGGGTACTTCGTGGATCTCTTTGTGCGGACGTCCAATAAGGTTGCTATCCAAATGTACCGTAAAGTATGTAACAACCATATTGACCTGGTTATTCATCCAACCATCTGTAAATGGTTTCGACAGTCATTCATTATGGTACAGCAATCATTTATGCCTCTCATGTACTGGCTCTCTTGTCTCTGCTTATTCTTACGTTTGCTTGATTTTCCTTTCTTGCCTCGTTGGTTCCTTCCTCTCCTGGCTCTCTTTCAATTTGGGTACGAGGTGTATCGTCGCGTGCAGATGTATTATTCGGGGGAGGAGGATGCACTTGGTGAGTTCCCATGCCATGACCGCAATTAACTAGGATGGCATGGCAAGCATGGCATCACATGGCATCCTGACATAGCACAGTACAGCATGGTTTTATTGTTTTTATTGCCAAGCATTGCTTGGACTCTCATGATGGTACTTGCATTGCGCCAATGTTGCAAATAAATGTTCATGCACAAAGCATTGGTGTGCATATCTGATTTGTTTTAACCTTGTGATGCCTTCAATTTCTTTTCTATATCCCTCTTCCTCTACCCTGTCTCCCCCCCCCCCCCCCCCCCCCCCACCCCCGGCTCCTTTGGTACCACCTTGGTTATAGACATGCGTAAATCAATGCCAAGAGACAAGGAAAAGAAATCGATGGTTCCACTTGGCAGAACTGTCACCCCGCAGGAGCTTTTGTTTGATAGATGTTGTACATATAGATTGCGTAGAATGAATCAAAATCTTGTGAGAAAAATGTTATCTACTTTGTCTGTAGCAAGATGTCTCGTTTCGCGTGTAGAAAGACACATCCCACAGCCAATGTAACTTGACAGAGAAACATACTTCGCTTGTCTCGCATGTTTCGCGATTTGCAGTCACAACGAAGACCCTTTCGACTTCTTCATGTTCAGCTGCTTATGTAACACGAGTTACGCAGGTCTAGGCTGCGTGTCAGTAGAGCTACACTGTGAGATCCCCGATCGATCCTAAGGGGGGTTACAGGCGCGTTTGCCTGGGGGGTTATGGGCGCACTGACCCGCAACTGAAATAAGCCCTTTTATCCCAATGGTCTAGTGGTTGGGATTCTGACACTGCGTTCTGTTGGCGCATAGCCTGTGCGAAACCCTAACAGGGAATATACCATGAACATGCGTGACAAGGCTTGGAGCCGGAGGAAATCGTTTTTGTGACCCTAACCTCTAGTGCGGAAGTTGTGCGCGCATTACTCATGCGTGCACAAAAACGCTGAACTAAATGTGCGCTCAGAACATACCACGAATGTGATTTCACATACAAACCTCCCGCACAGCCTGTGCGAGTCCCATCCACTCGTCTCCCAGCGGGCGCACAAGGGTATCGTTCTGTTGGCGCATTAGGGTTGCTTTGCCCTAACGATGAAAATTCTAGGAACGCGCACAAAGGGCTTAAAGCCCACGTCGAGCCTCCCAACTCGTTATTGTGTACCGAGCCTGGTAGCATTTGCTGTGCGCCCATGGGTAAGAGAACGCATCACAACCAGTGCGTTCGGACCTTACTTCGAAACTGTCAGAATCAACTGTGCAGGAATGGTTGGATTAGCAAGAGTTGGGGTACAAGTACTAACCCTAGAAGTGCTGTACCCCATAAGGAGTGCCCCACTATAGCCTACAAGTAAGATTCTACTTTGACACACCCCCATTGGCTAAGTGGGGGACAACAAGACGGTCACAAGACTAGTCAAGCAAGACAACAGAGCAAAGCAAAGCAAAGCTCAGGGTGGATCTTAAGGACACCACACAATCCGAGCACAAGCAAGCGGCCACAAGGCCAGTTCACATGCAGAGTTATAAGAACAAGGCAGTACACTGATTACAACCTAGCAAGAGTAAACATGCAGGTATAAATATATATATCAGTGTACAACAAGAGCAAGTCAAGCAACAAGCAGGTGAGGCAGAGTGTGCACAAGCCCAAGAGTAGTGCAGAAACGCTGATGATCACCAAACCCAAGGGCCTTGGTGAAGACATCGGCAGTGTTGGCCCGAGAGGCCACGTAAGCAAGGCGCAGCTGACAACGCTGCTGCACCTCACGCGCAAGGAAGTAGCGAAGAGCAATGTGCTTCGTTCTGTGCTCCAGTCTCTGCTCGCAACACAAGGCAAGCATTGCCTTGTTGTCGACGTACAGAACTGGAGGAGAACGAGGCCGCTCCCCCAAGTCGGTCAGCAGGTAGGTCAGCCAGCGTAGCTCCTGTGCAGCCATGGCCCCAGCGTAGATCTCGGCCTCACAGCTGGAACCAAGCACAGAAGAAGAACGAGTGGACCTCCACAAGACAGAACCAGAGCCAAGACTAAAGGTGTAACCCTGTGACGAACGCTGAGTCGCCTGGTCATCGGCCCAAGAAGCGTCAGAGTGTCCTGTGAGTACCACTGAACCCCGTCCTCCAAGCACGAGCCCCATGCCCGATGTACTGCACAAGTAACGCAGTACCCTCTTCGCAGCATCAAAGTGCACCTTTCGGTGTCTACCAGGTGCCACGTAGCGAGCCAGGAGGCTGAGAGGGTACGCGAGGCCAAGTCGTGTCCACGTCATCAGGTACATGAGGCAACCCACAAGCTCTGGGTACGGGCCACTCGGCTCTACGGAATCGTCTGAAGGTGGAGCTGAGAGCGAGTGACCGGTAGACAGAGGAGTGGGCTGTGGCGAGGAGTACTGGAAGCCGAAGCGCTGAAGGACCTGGTGCACCATGTATGACTGAATCATGGTGATGGTGTGTCGTGCTCTGTCCCGGGTGATCTGCAAGCCAACATAGCTCCGCCGCTCGCCCAGGTCAGTGCAGGTGTGTCTCTCCTGTAGCTCCGCCTTCACTAGGGTCAGCGCCTCTGTGTCAACAGTAGCAAAAACCAAGTCGTCGACGTACACGAGGATGTAGAACGGCGGCAGAGTAGTGTCGGTGCATAGAAACAGCGACGGGTCAGCAGTCGAAGGAGCAAACCCAAGAGCCGCAAGTGTCGTCCTCGGTGTGTCGTGCCACTCGCGGGGTGCTTGATGCAGGCCATATACTAGTCACCGTAGGCTCCACTGGGTACCCTCAGGAAACGACCTAGTGAAGCCAGGTGGACGGCGCAACCAGATGGCCTCGTGAAGGCTACCCTGCAAGAAAGCTGTCGAGAAGTCGAGGGAGTGCAGCTTGTAGTCACGCTGAGCTGCAACGTGTAGCAACACCCAAAGAGTGGTCATCTTCGGGGTGGGGGAGAAGGTCTGAAAAAAATCGACCCCCTCACGCTGACTGAAGCCTCGAGCAACATAACGTGCCTTGAAGGCAGGCGGAGAACCCGGCGGCCGCTTCACCCTGAAAATCCACATGCCACTGACGATGTTCGCCCCAGGTGGGGGAACCTCGTCGACGTAGGTACCTGTGGACTTCCAGGAAGCCATCTCTGCGTCCATGGCTGTCTGCCACTGAGAGGAGTACTCACCCGAGATTGCCTCTCTGTAAGAGCGCGGGGTGGGGATGTCAAGTGCATCCGGGTCTCCCTCAGGGGCAAGCAGCATGGTCGCGTGATGGGGTGAAGCAGCAGCAAGGCATTCCCCCTCCTCCTGTCTGTCCTCAAGAACGTCATAGCCAAGGGCAACCTCACCCCCGACGGACGGAGGACACGCAGGGTCAGGGTCAAAAACAAGACTCGCAAGGTAGTCTAGGCGGTACACAGCAGCAAAGTCAACTAGCTCAGCGACAAAGGCAGACGCAGCAGGAGACGAGAACGTAGGGTTCGTCACAACTGTAGCAAGAAAGCGAGTGACAGTCGGACTGGAAGCACGAGCAAGGTCAGACAGAGGGTCAGCAATGTCAGGAAGAGAAGACGCAGGAGGTGACGGTAGGACAACACGCTGTGGAACAAAGGAAGGACGGAGTGTCATATCGTGAGTGCCTGGGACAGCCGGAGCACGAGGACGACGCACACGACGAACACGAGCAGGAACGGAAGCTCTAGTTTCAGGCTCTCGACGCTCAGGAGTGGAAGCACGAGTCTCGGACTCTCGACGCTCAGTCAGGGACTCTGTCACAGCAGTGTAAGGAGCAGAAGTAGGCAGTGGGGAGTGAGGGAGTAGCTGTGGCTGAGACAGGTC